GTTTTCACAATACTTGAATTGTTTCTTTCTGGCTGCTTGCAATATTTTCTCCTTGACCTAGGACTCTGGAATTTGGCTACAATATTCCTAGAGGTTTTCCTTTGGGGATCTCTTTCAGGAGGTGATTGGTAGATTCTTTCAATTTGTATTTTACCCTCCGGTTCTAGAATATCAGGGCAATTTTCCTTGATAATTTCTTGAAAGATGATGTCTAGGCTCTTTTTTTGATCATGGCTTTCAGAGAGTCCAAAAATTTCTAACTTATTTCTCCTGGATATACTTTTCAGGGTCAGTTGTTTTCCCAATGAGATATTTCACACTGTCTTCTATTTTTTTCATTCTTTTGGTTTTGTTTTATATCTGGATTTCTCATAAAATCATTAGCTTCCATTTGCTCCATTCTAATTTTTAAGGAAGTATTTTCTTCAGTGAGCTTTTGGACTTCCTTTTCCATTTAGCCAATTCAGCTTTTTAAGGCATTTTTCTCCTCATTGGCTTTTTGGATCTCTTTTCCCATTTGGATTAGTCTTTTTTTTTTAAGGTGTTATTTTCTTTGGTATTTTTTTTGGTTCTCCTTTAGCAAGCTGCTGACTTGTTCTTCATAATTTTCTTGCATCACTCTCATTTCCCTTCCCAGTTTTCCCTCTACTTCTCTTACTTGCTTCTCAAAATCCTTTTTGAGCTCTTCCATAGCCTGGGACTGATTCATATTTTTCTTGGGAGGCCTTGGATGTAGGAGCCTTGACTTTGTTGTCTTCTTCTGATTGTATGTTTTGATCTTCTTTATCACCAAAGTAAGATTTCATAGTCAGAGGTTTTTTTCTGCTGCATGCTCATATTCCTAGCCAATTACTTGAGTTATAAATGCTTTGTTAAGGTAGGGGTCTGCTTCTGGTGTGAAGAATGTATTGTCCTAGTCTTTGGGGGTTTTGTGAAGCTGTTTTCAGAGATACTTCTAGTAAATTGTCAGTTCTTCCAGTATGATCAAAGGAGAGGTGTTCACTCGTCTCCTGGCCTGTGCTCTGGTCTGTGAGTGACCACAAGCACTCTTTTCTGCCTTGAACTGTGAGGAGGATTCTCTCTTCACTGCCACCACAAACTCTGCCTTGCCAGTGCTCCTCCTCCCCCCAGGACCACCACCCAGAACTGTGACTTAGATCCAAGTATGTGCAAAGCAAAAGAATACTGTCTCAGTGCCAGCAAAGAGATCCCTGCAATCCTTCTTTGATCAGCCGCTCAATCCCTGCTCTGTCTATGGGCCAAGATCTCTGGAAGCAGTCATTGCCCTGTGGTTGTGCCAGGGCTGGGGTTTGACCAAGCTCCTCTCACACCCAGGTCAGACACCCCTTTTCTACTGACTTTCTAAGTTGTCTTTGGTGTTTGTGGGTGGGGAAGTCTGGAAACCACCACAGCTCCCCTTGATTCAATCCCTTGAGGACTGCTCCAGGTTTACTGAGGCCTGGTCTTTGCCCACACAGCCTGAGTGGCCCATGCTGAACTGTGCTCCGGTCTCAGCCTGACACAACAGACTTTTCCTGCCAACCTTCCAGGTTGTCTTGGGCTGGAAATTTGTTTCACTCTGTCTTTTTGTGGGTTCTGCTGCTCTAGAATTTGTTTAGAGACATTTTCTACAGTTATTTGGAGAGGTTTGGGGGAGAGCTCAAGCAAGTCACTGCTTTTACTCTACCATCTTGGCTCTGCCTACCTCTTTCATAATTTTTAACAGCATAACAACACTCCATTGCATTCATATAACCTATTTTGTCTATCCCCAAATTGATGCACACTCTCTTAGTTTCTAGTTCTTTGCATACAAAAAGAGCTGCTATTCATATTTTTTCTATATATATATGTCCTTTTCCTCTTTGATCTCTTTGGTGTATAGGCCTTATAATGGCATTTAGTTTAGCAACTTTTGGGGCATAATTGTAAGCTGCTTTCCAAAATGGTGCGCTTCTCTCTCTCTCTCTCTCTCTCTCTCTCTCTCTCTCTCTCTCTCTTCTCTCTCTCTCTCTTCTCTCTCTCTCTCTCTCTCTCTCTCTCTCTCTCTCTCTCTATATATATATATATATATATATATATATATATACAACAAATGAACTCTGAATAACAGAAAATCAAGTTATTTACTCAGGAAACCCTGAATAACAGAAAATCTACCACTACTAGGTACCAGAGAACAGATATTGAAACATAACTTGCCTTTTATGGCAAAGAGGTAGGGGACCATTAGCATAACACTATTTTATATACCGTCAGATTTTCTCACTGTGTCATTTTGCTTAACTGATTGCTTTATCACAAGGAAGGATTCAGTCTGGAGAGGATGGGATAGGAAACAACTACAACAAAAGTTTAAAAAAATAATTAAAATTTATTTTAATAAGACATAATTCAATTTAATTCAATAAGCTTAAGCACTTACTATGTGCTAGGACTGTGCTGGGAATACAAAAAGAGGCAAAGGATAGTCCCTGCCCTCAAGGTAGATTAAAATCTAATTGGTAAGACAACATATAAACAAAATTGTAAAAATATATTTTATTACATTAAATATTTCTCAATTACATGCAAAAAACCTCCCTTTTGATGTTATTGAATTAATGTGTTGTTAATGTGTTAATGTTGCTGTTACTGTGTACAATGTTCGCCCAATTCTGCTCACTTCACTTTGCATCAGCTCATATATGTCACCTCAGGTTTTTCTGATACCATCCTGATTGTCATTTCAGTATTCCATCATGATCATATGTCACAACTTATTCACTAATTCCTCAATTAATGGATAATAAATAAAACTAAATATAATAATAATAATGATAGATAATTCCTTACTTTCCAATTCTTTGACAGCATAAGAAGTGCTAGAAATATTTTTGTATAAATAGATCCTTTTCCTTTTTCTTTGATTTCTTTGGGATATATTGGCATTGCTAGGTCAAAAGGTATGCACAGTTTTCTAGCCCTTTGGGCATAGTTCTAAACTGTTCTCCGAAATAGTTGGATCATTTCACAATGATCCACCAACAGTGCATTAGTGTCCCAATTTTTCGATAGCCCCTCCAGAATTTGTCATTTTCCTTTTGTGTCACGTTAGTCAGTCAAGTAGGTATAAGGTGGTATCTCAGAGTTGTTTTAATTTTATTTCTCTAATCATCAGTGATGTAAATATTTTTTTCATGTGACTACAGATAGTTATTTCTTTTTCTGTAAACTTCCTGTTCACAACTTTTGACCATTTATCAATTAGAGAATGGCTCGCATTTTTATGAATTTGGCTCAGTTTAAGATATAATATATTTAAGATATAGTATGTTTATAATATTATAAGATATAATATGTTTAAGATATAAAGTCTTTATCAGAGAAACTTGCTTTAAAGATTTTTTTTACCCAGTTTCCTGTTTTCCTTCTAATTTCCAGCCACATTGGACATGTTTGTCTACAACCTTTTTAATTTCATGTAATCAAAATTATCCTTTCTACTTCCTATGATCCTCTCTATTTTTTGTTTGGTCACAGACTCTTCCCTTTTCCACAGACCTGACAGGTACATTTTCCCATGCTCCCCTAAGTTACTTATGACATCATTCTTTATGTCTAAATATTTATCTATTTTGATCTTATCTTGGTATAGTATGTGAGATGTTGGTCTATGCCTAGTTTCTACCAAACTGCTTTCCAATTTGCCCAGCAATTTTTGTCAAAAAGGGAGTTCTTATCCAAAAAGCCTAGATCTTTGAGTTTGTCAAACACTAGGTTATTTTGGTCATTTACTACTGTGTATTATGTACCTAATCTATTCCATTAATCTACTCTTCTATTTCTTAGCCAGTACAAGACTGTTCTCACAAATACCACTTTGTAACATACTTTGAAATCAGGTACTGCTAGGCTGCCTTCCTTCACATTTTTTTTTCATTGATTCTCCTGATATTCTTGATCTTTCTTTCTTCCAGATGAAGCATGAACAATTAATATTTCTTCAGTTTTTCAGATCTGTCTTTATTTGTATGAAGAGTGTTTTGTAATTGTGTTCATATTGTCCTTGGGTTTGTCTTGGCAAGCAGACTCCAAAGTATTTTATATTGTCTACAGTTATTTTAAATGGAATTTTTCTTTCTACCTCTTGCTGCTGAGCTTTGTTGGTAATACACAGAAATGCTAATTATCTATCTGAGTTTATTTTATAACCTGATATATCTAAGACATAACTCAGATTCCATAGGCAGGAGACCATTCCTGGGTTACCTGCTGCTTATAGTTCCTTTGCCTCTAAGGTTACCTTTTATCTTGATGACAACTATCATGCCTCCCCTTCACTTTTCTTCAGGGGGTAAATATTCCCAGTTCCTTCAATCCATCCTCACATGGAATGTTCTTGAGTTCCTTCATCATTCTTATTGCTTTCAAGAGAATGTATTCCAGCTCGTTTACCTGCGACTGCCTTTCTGATATCTCAAACTGGATATCGAGTAGACATTTTAAACTCAGTATGTCCAAAACTGAACTCATTATCTTTCCCTCTAAAGTATTCCAAACCCACATTTCCCTTCAATCTCTCTCCTCCATTCATAATTATATCTTATTCCCTGACATGCGCTTTTTGATCCAGTAACATTTGCCAAGACACTCCATCTTTCAGCTGCTGGCATTTTCTCTGGTCTTCCCTCATACCTGGAACATTCTTCCCCTCATCCACCCTGATTGATGACCCTGGCTTCCTTTAAGTTCCAACTAAATTCTGAATTTCTACAGGAAGGCTTCCCTAACCCTTTTTAATTCCAGTGCTTTCTCTCTGTTAATTATCTCCTATTGATCCTATATGTATAGCTTCTTTGTACATATTTGTTTGTTGTCTCCTCCATTAAATTGTAAACTCTGTGAGGGCAGGGATGCTTTTGCCTTTTTAGTATCTCCAGTGCTTAGCAAAATGCCTGGCATACAGTAAACACTTAATAAATATTTATGCCTTGATTGACTGATTAATAATTACTAACCTAAGGAAGACTTCTTCCATGGTTGTGACAGAAATGCCAAAGCTGGCAATACCCAGCCCTTTCTGTTTGCTTTCCAGTTCAGTAAACAAAGCTTCAAACCTACAAGGCAAGAAGCAGAAAGAGATATTGTGCTAAGTAAATATTTAGCCTTTTATTTTGGGTCCAAAATACATTTCTTGTTGAAGGATTAAGAATAGCATGATATAACAGTTTTCTCACATTTTGTATTTTCTAACATGGCTTTCCTTTAAAATAAAGTTCTACGAGGTCAGCCTGTCTCATTTTCTCATGTCTTTCCTCAGCTTTTATATCTGAACCATTCCTACCTCTTTTTTAAGCCCCTGGCCTGACCATTCATCTCCCTCCATTTCATCTCTGGTCCCCATTTTAACTTTCTGGTTGCTTCCTCCTTTTTGAAAGAAACCTTAAATAGGGAAGTTCAACTTTTCCTAAAAAGCCACTAGAGTTGGCTGTTGGACTTCTGCCACTCAATTATAAAAACCTGTTAGAGTTTAGTCAACCATCCTTAGGTGCAGTTCCCCTTCTCAGTCCACTGTGGATTTGTGAGCTGGAACTAAATTGAAAGTAAGTGCATGAGGCTTTTATGGCTTATATGTTTCCCCTCCTAAATTTGGGTTATCTAAATACTCTATTTTTTATTCTGTTAATGTGGATATTTTATAAATATGCATTCATTTACTTTAACAGTTTTGTTAGCATATTAGTGGGCAAAGATACAGATTTAAAATGATATTTAATAAAAGCATTCTGAATAACAAGTGGATCCAAAAATGTTATAGAAGCAATAAGTTTGTGAAAGGGTATGATAATAAATCAATATATCAATATTTCTGTGATGAAACTAAAACAAACCTTAGGGGAAAAATTATATTTCAGAAAACATACATTAACAATATAGAAGGTGGAGCCAAAATGGTGGAGTAAAGGCAGAGATTTGCCTGAGCTCTCCTCCAAATCCTTCCAAATACCTTTAAAAATGACTCTAGGGGGCAGGTAGGTAGTGCAGTGGATAGAGCACTGACATTGGAATCAGGAGGACCTGAGTTCAAATCTGGCCTCAGACACATGGTACTCACTAGCTGTGTGACCCTGGGCAAGTTATGACCCCCTTGCCTTGCCAAAAAAACCCCCCAAAAACTTCTAAACAAATTCTAGAACAGCAGAACCTACAAAAAGACAGAGTAAAACAAATTTCAAGCCCAAGACAACTTGAAAGGTCAGCAAGAAAGGTCTGTTGCACCAGGGTGAGAAAGGAGCGCAGTCAAGTGCAGGCCACGCCACCACAGATGGGGCCCCAACAAACCCAGAGCAGGTCTCAGGGCAACAGAATCAGTGGCCATGGTGGCAGTTTCCAGATCCTTCAGTACACAAACACCAAAGACAACCTAGAAGGGCAGCAGGAAAAGTCTGTTATAGGGGCAGCTAGGCGGCATAGTGGATAGAGCACCAGCCCTGGAGTCAGGAGGACCTCAGTTCAAATTTGGCCTCAGACACATAATACTTCCTAGCTGTGTTACTCTGGGCAAGTCACTTAAACCAATCGCCTCACTAAAAAAAAAAAGTCTATCACACCTGGGTAAGCATGGGGTATAGTCCAGTGCAGGCACACTAGCACAGACCTGGCCACAACAAACCTTGGGAGTGACTGAATGAGCAGCAGCTACTTCCAGAGCTCTCAGCCCACAGATAGTAAGGGGGCTGAACTGGTCAGGAGATTACAGGGGTCTTTTTGCTGGCACTGAGGCAGAGCTCTGTGGCTTTGTCCATACTCAGATCCAGGTGACAGTCCTGGGTGGCAGTCCCAGGGATAGGAGGAGCACTAGCATAGCAGAGCTTTGGCCACAGTGGAAAGGGCAGAAAAGACTGCTTGTGGTCACTCATAGACCAGAGCACAGGCCAGTAAAGTATTCAACACATCTCCTTAGATTATTATCCCTTGGAAGAAATGAAGACTGATGGGTCCCTAGAAATATCTCTGCAAACAGCTACACAAAACCCCCTAAAGCTTGAGACACTTTGCCTTCAACAATGGAAGCAGAGTTCTACCTTAACAAAGAGTTAGAAATTAAGTAACAGGCTGAGAAAATGATCAAATAACAGAAAAAACTCTGACTATAGAAAGTTACTATGGTGACAAGGAAGATCAATACACACTCAGAAGAAGATAACAAAATCAAAGCTCCTACATCCAAAAGCTCCAAGAAAAATATGAATTAGTCTCAGGCCATGGATGAGCTAAAAAAGATTCTGAAAATCAGTAAGAGAGGTAGAGAAAAAATTGGGAATAGAAATGAGAGTGATGTAAGAAAATCATGAAAAATAGTAAAAAGCTTGGTAAAGAAGAAATTAAAAAAAAATACTGAAGAAAATAATACCTTAAAATAGGACTAGGACTAGGCCAAATGGTAAAAGGGGTCCAAAAAGCCAATGAGGAGAAGAATGCCTTTAAAAGCAGAATTGACCAAATGGAAAAGGAGGTCCAAAAGCTCACTGAAGAAAATAATTCCTTAAAAATTAGAATGGAGCAAATGGAAGCTAATGACTTTATAAGAAATAAAGAAAACATAAAACAAAACCAAAAGAATGAAAAAATAGAAGACAATGTGAAGTATCTCCCTGGAAAAACAACTGACCTGGAAGACAGATCCAAGAGAGTTAATTTAAAAATGACTGGATTCCCTGAAAGTCATGATCAAAAAAAGAGCCTAGACATCATCTTTCAAGAAATGATCAGGGCAGGTAGGTGGTGCAGTGGATAGAGTACTGGCCCTGGATTTAGGAAGACCAGAGTTCAAATCCAGCCTCAGACACATAACACTTACTATCCGTGTGACCCTGGGCAAGTCACTTAACCCCACTTAGCCAAAAACACATAACAAAACAAAACAAAACAAAAACAAAAAAAGAAATCATCAAGGAAAACTGACCTGATAGTCTAGGACCAGAGGGTAAAATAGACATCGAAAGAAGCCGCCAATCACCACCTGAAAGAGACCCCAAAATGAAAACTTCCAGGAATATTACAGCCAAATCCCAGAGTTCCCAGGTCAAGGAGAAAATATCGCAAGGAGCCAGAAAGAAACAATTCATGTATCATGGAGCCACAGTCAGGATAACACAAGATTTAGTAGCTTCTACCTTAAAGAATTGGAGGGCTTGGAATACAATGTTCCGGAGGTCAAAGGAGCTAGGATTAAAACCAAGAATCACCTACCCAGCAAAATGGAGTATAATCCTTTAGGGGGAAAATGAATATTCAATGAGATAGAGGACTTTTAAACATTCTCTTTTTTTGGGGGGGGGTAAGGCAATTGGGGTTAAGTGACTTGCCCAGAGTCACACAGCTACTGAATGTTATGTGTTTGAGGTCAGATTTGAACTCAGGTCCTCCTGATTCCAGGGCCGGTGCTCTATCCACTACACCACCTAGCTGCCCCCACTTTCAAGCATTCTTGATGAAAGGACCAGAGCTGAATAGAAAATTTGACTTTCAAATACAAGAAAAGCACAAAAAAGTAAACAGGAAAGAGGACTCATAAGGGACGTTACACAGTTTACATTCCTACATGAGAAGATGATACATGTAACTCATAAGACTTTTCTCATTATTAGGGTTGTTAGAAGGAGTATATATAGACAGAGGGTATAGGTGTGAGTTGAATATTGAAGGGATGATATCTAAAAATAAAGTTGAGGAGTGAGAGAAGAAAGTATTGGGAGAAAGGGAAAAGGAGAGGTGGAATGGGGTAAATTATTTCACCTAAAAGAGGCAAAAAAAGTTTTTATAGTGTAGGGGAAGTAGGGGAAGGTGAGGGGAAGTGAATGAACCTTACTCTCATCAGAACTGGCTTAAAGAGGGAATAACATACATACTCAATTGGTTATAGGAATCTATCTTACCCTACAAGAAAGAAGGAGGGGAAGGGAATAAGAGAAGGGAGGGGGTATGACAGAAGGAACAACAGACTGGGGGAGGGGGTAGTCAGAAGCAAAACACTTTTAAGTGTTTTGAGGGTAAAAGGAGATAGAAAATAGAACAGAAAGGAGGAATATGACTGAGGAAAATACAGTTAGCAATAGTAACTGTGAAAAAAATTTGAAGCAAGTTTCTCTGATAAAGGCCTTGTTTCTCAAACAGAGAGAGCTGAGTCAAATTCATAAAAATAAGAGCCATTCCCTAATTGATAAATGATCAAAAGATAGGTTCAGTTTTCAGATAAAGTAATCAAAGCTATCTACAGCCATATGAAAAAATACTCTAATTCACTACTGATTAAAATTGTAAATAAAATTCTAGCAAAAAACCATAGTATACTTAAGAAATATTCACTATGACTATGCTGGACATATATAATGGATACAAAGTCAATTTAACATTTGGAAAACATAATAAATTATACTAAAAAACAAAACTATTCCAAACCACAAGATAATATCAACATTGCAGAAAAAAGCCTTTTACAAAGTATCACCCTCATCTATCACTTAAAAAAACACAACCCATTGCATCTTTATTTTTTAATTTTTTTGGGGGGGGGAGTGAAGGCAATTGGAGTTAAGTGATTTGCCCAGGGCCGCATAGCTAGAAAGTGTCTGATTTGAAGTCAGGTCTTCCTGATCCCAGGGCAGGTGCTCTATATGCTGCACCACATGCTGTGGTAGATTTTTTTTTTATTTTAGGCAATTGGGGTTAAGTGACTTCCCCAGGGTCACATAGCTAGTGAGTGTCAAGTGTTTGGTCTGAGGCCGGATTTGAACTCAGGTCCTCCTGACTTCAGGGCCAGTGTTCTATCCACTGTACCACCTAGCTGCCCCGAAATTTTTTTTTGTTGTTTTTGGTTTAGGCCATAGGTTAAGTGACTTGCCCAGGGTCACACAGCTAGTGAGTGTTATGTGTCTGAGGTCGGATATGAACTCAGGTCCTCCTGAATCCAGGACGGTGCTCTATGCACTGCACCACTTAGCTGCCCCTAGATTTTTTTTTAACACATGCATTTCATCTTATTACTACCAAGAAATTATAACAGCATGAACCTCCCCCCCCAAGTCAAACTCTGGTCCCCACTTTTCTAAACAGTCAACACATGATGACACTGACAATGTGATTCACCCTAAATTTTTATCTTGTTTTCTAAATTATTGATCTGGAGAAAGAAACTCTCAGATGGTGATTTTTCTCCAAGATCATACTTATGAAACTCAATACATGTCTGGATAGCCTTTTCCACTGTTGCCATTTGAGAGAAAAGTTGTTTGACTGAATTGTAGAGTATAGGGAGGAAATAGTGAGGATGGAAAGATAGCATACAGCTAAATTGTGAAGGCTTTAAAAACTAGACAAAGGAGTTTTTATTTGATATTTGAGGCAACAGTGAACTGGTGGAGTTTACTGAGTAGGGAGATCCATGGTTAGATGTGTGGAGAATTAACTGCAGTGACTTGAGGCAGGGAGAACAGTTTGGGTGCTACTGCAATAGTGTACACTAGAGGTCATGAGGGCTAGAACTAAGGTGGTACCTGATTAAACAGGAGAAATAGAGAAGGGAAGAGAGAGGAAGAGCATGAGGGAGAGAGAACAGGGTGGGACAACTGTCATGCAGATAGAAATGACCATCTGCCAATTGCTTGCATACATGAGGTGAGAAAGTGAGGACAAGAGATAACACCAATGTTATCTGGGAGAATGGAAAGATGGTGGCACTTATATAAGTTTGGTAGAGGGGTAAGTTTTGAAGGGCAGATAATGACCTATGTTTTAGACATATTGAGTTTGAAGTGTCTTTGAAACATTCAGTTTGACGTCTAATAAGCAGTTGGTGATATGGAACTGGATCTCAGGTGAAATTGTTGACTGGATATATAGAAGTAGTCATCCATACAGAGATAATCAGATCCACAGGAGCTGAACAGATCACTGAGAAAAAAAGAATATAGAAAAGAAGGCCCATGACAGAGCCTGGAAGTACACCCATAGTTAAAGAACACAGTATGAATGGTCACTGAATCAAAGAGGCTGAGGAGGAGTGGCCATAAAGGTAGGAGAAAAACCAAGAGTAGAATTACACTTATTTAACAAAGTTCTAAAACTGCTAGCAAAAGCACTAAAGCAAGATAAAGAAATTAAAAACATAAACACAGGCCAAGAAAAGATGAAATTGTCCTTATTTATAAATAAAAGGGTGATTACTTAGAAAACTCCAGAGAAGCAGCAAAGAAACTAATTCAGACAATTAATGGTTTTTAGTAAAGTAGAATACAACATTAACTACAAAAACCAGAAGCACCTATAATTCAATATAAAAAGAATTCTCTTAGAGTAATCAACTATGGTTAATATTCAGTTTTTCACATTATTCTCAGTAATTTGACAAATACAGTTATCCCTTTCACATTGCGAGTTTCCCCATTGTGGTTTTGATATATCAGGGTGGCATAAAAAATTAAATAGGAAATTTTGGGGAGTTTTGCTGAAGCCGCAGATGACATGTGAATGCCAGCAAACCACACAGAAAAAGTTTAGAAATTCAGAAATGCATAAAATATATGTATAGTACTGTGTAATAGCAATACATTTTACCTTTAAATATTATAATAATTCAGATTTCTTCTCTGCTACAGAGGGAAGACCAACAAATTTTACATGGATTTTCCAGACTGCAGAGGTGCCACACCCCTAACCCTCACTATGTGGAAGGGATACCTGTACTATGTTTTAGGAGTTGCTTTCCCCCCCCCTTCCCTTTTAACAATGTTTTTGTTTACTTTTATCCAGCTTGGAGTTGGGATAAAATTTGTGACCTCTCTCCTATTTTTGTGCTACTATGAAGACAGTATAAGTAATTTTCAATGTGTGGCTTTCCAATGTGTAAATTTACTGACTACCCATTGCTTGGTATGTGGCAGTAATAACAAAACTCTTAGAGTATCAGAAGGTACATTTGCCAAACATGAGGAATCTAAAAAAGGCAATTATGAATGCTGAGCAGTAGAAACCCCATTAGGCCAGCATGCTCTGGATTCCTACCTGTTTGTACTTTCTTTGGGTAGGATAAAAGATAACTCAGTTCCAAAGTTACTCTCCAAAGTGGCATTTGGTACATATCAAAGAACAATTTGGCTAATTTCCTCTGTATCACAGTGAAGCTCCTTTACTATGACCATGTGGTATCCAGCACCTGAAAAAATATTTTTTAAGACCAGATGAAACAGTTGGGTTCATTCCATTGTTTTTAATAGCCCACACTTGGTCTCCTCACAGTTTGAGTAAGGTGAGCTCCTTAGGAGAGAAGAGATGAGAATCTCCTTGTTGTTCCATGGAAAGAGCTAGGAATGGAGTCAGGAAGGCAGGGTTTGAACACTAGAGTCACCATGGACCAGTAGCTTCACATCTTTGAAACTCTTTGCCTATGGGTAAAATAGGGACAATATCTACCTAGATAGAATTTCAATGGAGAAAACCTTTTAGCACCTACGTGTGAGTTGTTATTTCAATGCTGTTGTGGGAACTGGCTTCAGATACCCTAACTAGTTGTAGCATGACCAAGATGCTTGACCAACTACCAAACCACAGAAAGAATCCCTCCCCTTTCATTACCTAATCCCTTAACAAACTCCTCCTGCCTTTTTAATATTCATAATTTCTGTTATGTAATCAGCACCATTACACTATAAATTTGCTTCTGTTGTCTTACTAGTTAGGATTCTCATAAGCAAACTCCTGTTATGAAAACTGTTCCTAATAAATGCTACAGTGAACAGAGATATAGCTGGGGAAGATAATCCCTTAGTTATCAATAAATGTTATTAAGCTTGAGATTTACTCATATAACAAACAAAACTGCCTGGTTTCCAAACTTTTCCCCCTTTAACAACCAATCAATAATCAATCAATTTGGAGACAGGTATGTATTCCAAGATAGTATAACAAATTGAGCAATAACAATGAGGTGAGAACAAATATGTCATTTTGTGAGCTAGTGAAAAGTCCTATTTGAGTAGGACAGAAGAGTCTACTGTTGGTATAGATGTTGGGGTAGCGATGAAGAGAGAGAGGAGGTAGATGAGAAGAGGCCTAACCAGTTAAGTTCTCTCAATATATTTCCCATTTAATGGATAGAAGGGGCAGGTAACAAAAACCATAGATAGTGAAGTATTAGAAGAAATATTCAGGTGCTTCTTTTTCTTTGGGGCAACTAGGTGGTAGAGTGCTGAGCCTGGAGTCAGGAAGATTCATCTTCCTGAATTCAAATCTGGCCTCAGATACTTTGCGACCCTGGGCAAGTCACTTAAGCCTGTTTCTCTCAGTTCCTCATCTGCAAAATGAGGTAGAGTAGGAAATGACAAACTACAACAATATTTTCCAAGAAAACACAAAATAGGGTCATGAAGAGTTGGACATGACTGAAAAACAAAATTCTTTTTCGTTTCTCCTTTAGAAGGAGTAAAGAAATTCTTTAACTGGCTTTTTTGATAGCATTATAAGGCAGCTAGCTGGCTAGCTATCTCCATTGCCTCTTCAGGGAGTGGGTTGTTTTTAAAAGGGAAAGTTGACTAAAGAACCTTACTCCTTCTAAAGGAGATATGAAAAAGAAACACTTCTTTCACTTCACTGCTTAAGTTTCCTGACCATTATATCTTGAAATTTCATCATATGGGATAGGGGTATCTTAGTTGATCAGGTCCCCTGGACAATTCCCCAACACAGTAAAAAAGATTGAGGAGGGTCTTAAAAATCAAAGACAGGAGTTTAAATTTAATAGAGCTGGAAATGGAAAGCAATTATGGATTTTTATGAGTAAGAGACACATGGAGAAAGAAGTTTATAAATATGGATGACCTTTTTTGGAACTCCTCAAAATTAGCTTGGAAACAGATCAAAGGGAGACAAGGATAGAGCTTAAAGGCCCCTCTTCTAGTACTTAAGTTTCAAAGAGTTTAAGACTTTCCCTGAGGGCAACTATGACCACCAATAACTCCTTCACTTTATTTTTTGTTTGAACCAGACTTTGAAGGGGCTGTAGTGTGGAAAGGTGGAAAACAAACAAACAAGAAAGAAATGGAGAAGTGTGGAACAAAAAATGTGACTTGATTGATGAGTGAAAGACAGAGGAGGCTGAAGGCACAGCGGTGTCCGACTTGGAGTCTATATACTGAACTCTGAATGTTAGTTACCTCTCCCCAGTGGCAGAGAGGGGGACAAGGACAGAATCCCAGATCTGACCAACTATCATCAAATGAAGGAACATGGGTGTGGCCATTTTCAATGAGCAACTTGCCTCTTTTTTTTTCAAGTAAATAGTATTTTTTTTCCCAATTACATGTAAAGACAGTTTTCAACATTCATTTTTTATAAGATTTTGAGTTCCAAATTTTTCTCCCTCCCTTTCTCCTCTACTTTCTCCACAAGATGGCAAGCAATCTGATATAGGTTATTTATACATGTGAAATCATGTTAAACATATTTCCACATTAATCATGCTACTTGTCACTTTGAAGAATAGTTCCAGAGACTTAAAGGTAATTCACTACAACCACTTGATTGTCCATAAGATAGTTAGAAGAACTCCCTGATAAATATTTGGAGACAAATGATGAACACCTAAACCAGTGGACACTAAAGAGACAAACCACCAGTTATGCAAAGAACCAAACAATGCTTCAAATAATGAACTTCACTTTCAGTGAAGAAGATAGATACTCTGTGTGGTAACCAAAAAGTTTCATCATAGCCCTCTTAATCTTTGATGGTCACTGGCAAATCCTGGGATTCTATCCCTGGCTCTGACTTAAAGTGACTGCCCCTGTTACTCATGGTCAGCTCATCTGTCTTCAAACCTCCCATGTCTCCCCCTGGCCCTACCCTTTTGGCTGAGAACCTTGCATCATATTTTACTGGGAAAAAATTAGGACATGTACCCTCTTCCTCCCCTCTTCTTTATCTCCTATCACTCAGGTACCTTTGGCCACTCTCTCCTTCTTCACCTCTGCTGATGGAATCCTAATTAAGCTGCCCCCAGCCCCAAGAGTTTAACTTCCTTATGGGTCCCACTGAACAGCAGGCATGTCCTGATTCAACCACACAATCCGACCTTAATCACACCACAGGCTCCCAGACTCAATACAGTCACTGCCCCTAGCTAGCCAGTTCCCCCATATCTAATTCACATATTTGAACAGGTGTGTAATCTTGTATTCAACCACAATCACATCATCCATTTAGCCTAAGACAGGGACCATAATACCTATCTATCCATCTTGACCAGAGAGGACCACAATAGCTAGCCAATCAGAAAACAGCATGACCAGGATGCCTGACCACCAAACCATAGAAGGGGCCCCTCCCCATTACCTAATTCCTTAACAAACCCCTCCTGCCTTTTTAATATTCACAATTTCTGTTGTATAATCAACATCATTACACCATAAATTTGCCTGTATTGTCTTTTACTAAGTTGCTGGCTCCTTTTGAAACTTAGCTCACTTCACAAAAGGCATTAATCTCAATAAATGCCTATACTTGGATTAGAGGTGGTCTGACTCTGAATTCTTTTGAGACGGTGTTGCCACAACACACCATGAAACCACAACACTGCCTCACATGAAGAAGTGACCCTTCTTCTCCCTGCCAAGGCAAAACCTGCACAAGTGATCCTACTCCACTGTGTCTCTACCAACAGATTGCCCCCTTTTGCATCCCCAATCTCTCATTTATCTTCAATTTCTCCCTGTCTACTGACTCCTTCCATACTGCGTACAAACGTCCTCAAAAAGCCCTCACTTGATCTTTCCATCCCTGCTATCAACCCATATTTTTCCTGTCTTTTGTGGCTAAACTCCTTAAGAAGACTCTGTACCTCACTTTCGTCTGAGTCTCTTCTTGACACCCTTCAATCTGGCTTCTGTTCTCATTCTACCAAAACTGCTCTCTCCAAACTTATCAGAGATGTTTACTAAATCTAATAGCCTTTTTCTCAATCCTTATTCTTGACCTTTCTGTAGCCTGTGACACCGTCAATCACCCTCTTCCACTTGATACTCTCTTCTCAATAGGTTTTTGGAACACTACTTTCTCCTCCTACCCATCTGATGACATCTTCTAAGTCTTCCTTGCTAGACCTTCATCCAGGTCATGTCCACTATAACCTCTAGGCCATCTCCTGTCATCCTGATTTGGCCACTGGACCTAGATGGCTCTGGAGGCAAATGTGAGGCTGATGACTTTACACGGTCCTCCTTCATTCAAATCCAATTCAGTGCAAGTTATGTCATCATCTCCCTGACATCATAGCCCTCTTTGAGAACAAAGGACAAACTAGAGCCCACTAACCTTTGTCTTTAGCCCTCTCCTCTTCTCCCACTATTCTCAGCTCCCATTTGGTGTTCTCAGCTTCCATTAATTATCATTTTTATAGTGATGATTATCAAATCTCCTTATCCAACTCTTAAGTTCTTTGTTGACCTCCAGTCTATCATCTCCAAACACCTATTAGATATCTGAAATTGGATATTCCATAGACATATCAACATGTCCAAAATGAATTTTCTATTTTCCACAAAACCTTTCCCACTTCCAAACTTCTCTATTATTATCAAAGACACCCCCATCCTCCCCATTCCCCTGGCTTGCAACCTAGATGTCATCCTCAACTCTTCACTCTCTCACCACCCTCTCCTACCCATCTATTGCCAAGGCTTATCACCTCTAGGATAAAATATAAAATAATGTCTGGTGTTCAAAGTCCTTCACAAATACCCTACCCCAACCTTTCCAATTTTCTTACACCGTACACTGTATTCCACTGCCAACTTATTCTTCATCCATTCACACTGACCTCTTTACTATCCTTGAACAACATACTCTATATCTCAGATATGGATATTTCACTGGCTGTCCCCCATTCCTTGAATGCTCTTCCTCCTCTGCTCTAATGACATCCCTGGTTTCCTTCAATTCCCAGATAAAATTCTGCCTTCCATAGGAAGTCTTTCCAAATCTCTTAATTTTAGTACCTTCCTTCTTGTGTATTTGCCTTGTTTGTATATAGTTGTTGTGTTTCGTCTCCCCCATTAGACTATGAGCTCCTTGACAGCAAGGACTACCTTCTGCCTTTCTTTGTATCACCGGTGTTTACCACAGTGCCTGGCACATAGGAAATGCTTAATAAATGCTTTTTGATGGATTTAATGTCTGAAGCTGTGATGACAGAGTTCAGCATATAGATGCTGTGCTGGCTCCAATCTCTCCTATTCTCTACTCAGCTACAAAGGTCTTTGTTTCACCCTACTTACTTCTCCATTTCTTGCTTGCTTGGCTTTTTCCCTCCTGCTCTACAGTCCCTTCAAGCCCTGAGTCAAACAAATTTAAAAAAAACCCCTCTGGTTAGTTTACCCTCAACTAAATCTGAAATCCCTTTGAGCTTAGAGAGCCCTAGAAAGGGGCCTTACACACCTCCATGAAGTTCTGCCCTCATTCCTTCTCCCTTTACTCTATTTTCAGGGCCTTTTTGAGAAATTCCAAAAAAAAGCCAGCTACATAAGGAAGTTTGACAGTGATATGAAGGATGCATCAAAAAGGAAAAAAAAGCTAGAGAGACCATATTTTTGTTTGAGGAAGAATGAGGAACCACAGCACTGCAGTTCCCCATTGGCCATGATGGCAATGCAGTCACCTAGCACGTCAGCCTCCTTCATGTTGTGGGTAGTCAGCACAATGGTGTGGCCACGTTTATACTGCTGAGGAAGATCCCAGGTGGTATGTCTGGTAATGGGGTCCATCCTAGATGTCAGCTCATCCAGAATGATTACCTGCAGACCAGAAAGATAACACCATGACATTAGCAAATGGTGCCGTACATAGACCCTTAATATGGATGGAGCCTACCTTGGTTTTGTTTTGCACTTTTAATTTCCTAGAAAACTGAGTACAAGGCACTTGAATTACTTGCCCAAGTGCAGTCACCAAGGTCAGAATAAGTTACAGTCAGTCCCAGTAAAACACTGGGCACTTCACACATACAGTCAACTTACTCCAATCATATGAAAATATCTCTCCACTGAGGACACCCTGGGAACTCCCCATATTAGGATCAGTTCACTAAGGAGCAGTTGATTTTTTCTGTTCAAACAGCAACAGGGACCCATTTTAGTCACTTTTTATACCTTGGAGTCTCCTAAGAGCGCAATGCCAATGCTGAGCTTTCGCTTCACGCTTGCAGTCAGTGACTTTGAAAAATGATTGCGCTTTTCTTCCAAGCTGAAAAATTTCAAGGTCTGATCTATTTCTTTATGGCACTCCTTCAGAGTCAATCCTTTCAACTGAAAACACAAAAGAAAGAACCTAAATGACATTTCTGACTTTAATTAATAGTTAGCAATTGTGGTTTAAAAAGTATCTTCCTCTTATGGAAAGATGGACACACTTCACAATATATTAGTATTGTTGGCAGATTTGTAACCATTCTGGATAACAATTTGGAAGTATGCTAAAAGACTGACTTAAATTTCCATACCTTTTTGCCTAGAGATTCTACTGCTAAGAATATAGCTAGGAGGCTAATGAGAAAAAGGATGTCCCCATATTCACAGAATCATTTACTGATGAAGGAATGGCTAAACACATTGTGAAACATGAATATAATGGAATATTATTATGCCATGAGAAATGATGAATATGAGGAATAAAAAGTGAAGCATAAGAAAATTTATATGAACTATTATAAACTCAGGTTAAGTGGGAGCAGGATAACAATACATACAATGACTACAACAATGCAAATGGAAAGAATAATAATTATAACATAACAAAAAGTGAATTCTGTGCAATTATAATGATAAACTTAGAGGAGGAAGACCATAGTTACAGAACACTGCATGTGATGTCAGTCTTTTTCAATACGTTCCTTAGTTTTGCCAATTTTTTTCTTTTCTGTTTTGTATAATTTATTTAATGGAATGACTCTTTGGGAGGGAGAAGAGAAACAATGGAAAAATGTAGGTGACATAAAAACAAACATTACCAAAAATTTATTTCAAAAAATTTCAAGGGGCAGCTAGGTGGTGCAGTGGATAGAGCACTGGCCTTGGATCCAGGAGGACCTGAGTTCAAATCTGGCCTCAGACACATAATACTTCCTAGCTGTGTGACTCTGGCCAAGTCACTTAACCCCAATTGCCTCACTAAAAAAAAGAAAAATTCAATGCTACCAAATAAGAAATAAAGTGTGTCATAACACCTCAGACATTTAAAACAGTACAATGTGACATTCCTCAGAAAAATATATGATCAATAAGTTTAAAATCTGGTTTGCACAGCTGACTGTACAAATACTGTAACATCACTGCACCAGTAAAAATGTTCTCCATTTGAGCTATGAATGACCCAGATAATAACCCTTCATTGAGTCAATAAACTTTTTTTTTTTTTGCGTGGTTAAGCAGTGGAGTTAAGTGACTTGCCCATGGTCACACAGGCTAGTAAGTGTCAAGTGTCCAAGGCCAAATTTGAACGCGGATCCTCCAAACTCCAGGGCCAGTGCTCTAGCCACTGTGCCACCTAACTGCCCCTTTATCACTATTCTTAATAGTTCCTATAAAGTGTAATTACTTCGAGGTTTTGATCCCATTAACCTTGCTACCTGCATGGTATTCATTAAAAGGAATTTATTTAAACGTCCCTACCTCCCCATCTCACTTTGTTACAGAGAGTCCTTCAGAAAATATATTTCGAAATGTAGCGAGCCTTCCTTCCATAGCCACATCACTCTAAACATTTTAACGAGAAAAAGCATTTTTTTCTTTTCCTCATTTGGAGATTAGGTCAAAACTTAGTTCTCTGAAGGGCAAGATGGATGATGTGATGAAATTTCGGAATTGCTACCCCATCCAACTAGAGATCCTTAAAAAGAATTTAATCTGAAGTGAATTCTGGCCCACTGTGTTTCACTGAGGCAGGCTAGATTCCCCAAGGCTGGGGTTAGTCTGGCTTGAGATAGTTTCTCTTTGTCAATGAGTGACATATTCAGTCAGGTTCCCCAGCCCCTCATTATAATAGGTCCACCTCTCATTATAATATTCATTCTCTCATTACTTGTTAACCAATCAGAGTTGACTTCTACCCTCAGGAACACCCACTCTTCCAAGAAAATTGAGTGGGTTCCACGAGGGGTCTTTGGCATTTGAGAATTCCACTTACCCTTTTATTGATTATATACTAACATGATTAATAAAATCATTAATTACCCAGAAATCATGTCTTTCGAACTTTTTATGTCACAAAATAAAAGGCATAATAAAGTAGTCAGATCAAAGGAGTTGGAGTCAAAGGACCCACAGTTCAAATCCCGTATCTACTACTGACTATATGATGATAGACAAATGACTTAGCTACTGGCCCTAAGTTTCCTCATCTGTAAAATGAGAGGCTTGGATTGATTAATGGAACAATGAGGTCCCTTCCAGCTCTAAAGCTATATAATTCCATAAGAGAGGGGAAAAGTGTTTCTTTGGCTCACCTGAGCATAGAAATAAAGGTGATCAGCTACCGTCATGTGATCAAATAAGATATCATACTGGGGGCAAAAACCCAAGCTCTCCCGGATCTGAACCATGGCCTTGGATATCTCATACCCACAGATGTACGCCTTTCCACTCGTTGGAGGATACATACCTAGGACAAAACAAACAAACAAAACATACCCAAGAAACTTAAATTTAGGGAGAAGATATGTTAATATATTGTCTTGGGTTTAATACTCTTTTGATTTATCTTGACCGATTAACTCCATCTTGACACTCTAGTACTAGAGTGTTAATAATATTCATAGAATAGGTACTGTAGGCAGAATATTAAGGCCCAAGGATGTCTCAGTTCAATGAAATGAGTTTGGGATCTGGAATCAGAGGGACTGAGTTCATGGACTCTTCTAAAATTCCCAGTTTAGAAACAGGAGTTTTAGAAAGTACTTGAAAACCAAGAATAACATATCCAGCAAAAATGAATATAGCCCTACAGGAAGAAAATGGATATTTAATGAAATAGAGGATTTTTAAACTTTTCTAGTGAAAAGACCAGAAATCAGCAAAATCTTTGAGATGAAAATGCAAGAGGCAAGAGAAACATAGAAAGGTAAATACATTTGATCAGTGATAATGAATTACTTGAATCATAATTGAGGGAGAAAAAAAGGGTCTTCTCAAAGCCCTGATATCTTCAAGGGTCATAGAGAAAGTTCAATAAGACAGGCAAGATGGCTCATGGGTGATTCTTCTTTGTTTGATAGCTACATAGGAAAAGAAGGAAATGAAAGAAATAGGAAATATATTGGAACAAAAAGGAGGAGAAAGGAGAGGGAGACTTACTATTTAATAGAACAGGGCTGGATGAGATGAAGACTCTATAAACATCTAGGAAGGGACAAAGGAAATAGGTATTCAATTAAACTCGCTTTTACCAGAACTGGTCAAAAGAAGGTTCGATATAATCATACAGCATTATACTCACACATACAGAGAGCTATATGTCATCTCAATATGGAAATAGGAGAGGAAAGGGAAAAGGAGAATTTAAGGAGGGGGCTGGGAATGAGTGAGGGAATAATCATAAACAAAACAAACTCCTACACTCTAGTTTGGAGTAATATGAAGGGAGAATTAAAGGAAAGAGAGAGTAAAAATCCTGTGATTTGGGGCAGGGTAAGGTGGAAAAAAGAATGGAAACAGGTTGCTTTAATTAGAGAGCGCTTGTGTTAACCAAACTCCATTTCACATTTAAACAAAAAGTGAGCTGTACAAAATAGAAAGCCACAGTTTTATGTATAGTCTTCTCCTGTCTTAATTTGTATATGGAAATTCCTATTTCCTTTGGTGTTTATTATATTTATAAATGTAAAAATGAAAAAAAATTTGTCAGTAAAGAAAAATAAGTTTCCTCTGCATCACAATAAATGATAAAAATGTTAATTCATGGTGATGTTTATATAAAATGACATCAAATGTTTGGAACTGTGTCAAAATGTCTATATGTGCATTTACACAGGTGGGAAAATGATACAAATAGTTTATATTTTCTGTTCTGAGCTGATTGAGTTTATAGTTTAAAAAATAAGAGTCTTTATATAGCATGTGTTTCTTTGTGGGAAATGATTTCCTTCCACATTTGCCATCTTTAGAGATCAGGGAAGGAGCAATTGACCGTTTAGTTAATATATACAAAAATGTGGTACATAAAACAGGGGGTTACCTTATATAGCAATATATATATATATATATATATATATATATACATATATATACATGTATACATATATATATGTGTATACACACACACACACACACACACACACACACACGTATGAACAGTTACAAAACTACGTAACCAAGAATACCAAGTCAAGGAGGTTAACTAAAAATCTTTCCTGTAAGAAGTGATCCTAAAGACAAATCTTTAAACTAAAAATTTTGAAATCTTTTGTTTTTATATTACCTTCATTTCTAAATATCTCCCCCCCTCCCTTCTCCATGCTGAGGCACTCCTTGTAACAAAGAATTAAAAAGAGAGAAAAGTTCAGTAAAACTAATCAAGCCATTATTCATCCATACTTATAATCCCTCACTTCTGGTAAGGAGAGAGGAAGTCGCATTCTCCTTCTCTTTTAACTCAATGCCAAACTTGATGATTATAATTATGCATTACTCAGTTTTCTTTCTTTTCTTTTTTTAACTTTTCACTTGGCATTGTTGAAGTCATGTATCTTATTTTTCTGGTTCTGCTGACTTCATTTTCTAACAATTTGTATGTTTTCCCATGCTAATTTAAATTTTTCATAGTCATTATTTCTTAGGTTCAGTCCCCCAATTTAATTAGCCATTCCCAAATTAATGTGCACTTATTTTGCTACCAGCTCTTTGCAATTATAAAAAGTGTTACTACAAGTATTTTGGTATGATGAATCCTTACTTTTTGTCACTGACATCCTTGAGGGATATGTCTAGCAATTAAATCTCAGGGTATGAATATAATTCTAAATTCCTTTTCAGAAAGGTTATGCCAAATCACAGCTCCACCGATAATGTATTACTGTGCTTGTCATCCCACAGCCCTTCAAACATTGACTATTTCTAATCTATTGTCATTGTTTTCAATTTTCTGGGTGTGAGGTGAAACCTCAGAGTTGTTTTGACTTATATTTCTGTTATTATTAGTGATCTGAAATTGAAAACAGAGAAGTAATTTAAAGGACTATCTGGCATAATATGCCAGCATAACTACAACTTAAGAGAAATAGATGATTATTTTAGAATATAAAATATCAAAATTAAGACAGCAAATCTCAAACCTAATTTACAGGGCCTTAGCCATCAGCAAAACTCCCTAGTGAGGCTGACACCAGATTAAAATGTAACTGGGAAATGTTTAATAAAAAATAAGTTAAAATACAATACAATATAGATCCTGTTAAATTGATGTTTTCTAAGTCAATATGCAACCAGCATGGATGAAATTTTCATTTGAGTTTGACACCACTATCTTAAGTAATCTAGTTTCAGAAAAAGAAATTTAACTAATTGTAAAGGTATTGACAAAGAAAAAATCCAGACCAGCTGGATTTGTAAGAGAATTCAATCAAACTTTTAATGGCCAATAAAGATCTATACTATAAAAATTATTCTCAAAAACTGAGAAACTTTTTTTAATATTGTTCCCTCAAATTTACCTGACACCCATGCCCTATGTCTATGTATATTCCTTCTATCTGTATTGTTAGTGATACAGCTTTTAAGTTACAAGCATCATCTTTCCGTGTAGGGATATAAATGGGTTAGCTCTACTGAATCCCTTGTGTTTTGTTCCTTTTTACCTGTTTATGCTGCTCTTGGGTCTTGATATTAGAGGTCAAATTTTTGGTTTTCTCCTTATGAAGGCTTGCAATTCTTCTATTTCATCAAATGACCATTTTTTCCCTTGATGTATTATGTTTGATTTTGCTGGTTAAGTGATTCCTAGTTGTAGTCCTAGCTTCGTCGTCCTTTCGAATATCATGTTCCATGACCTTCAATCCTTTAATATTGCAGTCAAGTCCTGTGTGATCCTGATTGTGACTTCTTGACATTTGAATTGTTTCTTTCTGGCCACTTATAGTATTTTTCCCTTGACCTGACAGCTCTGAAATTTGGTTATAATGCTCCTTGGGGTTGTTAAGGATCTCTTTGCTGAGGTGATTGGTGGATTCTTTCAATGCCTACTTTGCCCTCTGGTTCTAGGACTTCAGGGCAGTTTTCCTTGATGATTTCTTGAAAGATGCTATCCAGGTCCTCCTTTTGATTATGGCTTTCAAGTAGTCCAATGATTCTAATATTGTCTCTCCTGGATCTATTTTCCAGGTCAGTTGTTTTTCTCATGAGGTGTTTTACATTTTCTTCCATTTTTTCATTCTTTTGAATTTGTTTGATTCATTCATGATGTCTCAGGGAATTATTAGCTTTCACTTGCCAAATTCTAACTTTTAGAGTTTTGTTTTCCTCAATTAGCTTTTGTACTTTCTTTTCCATTTGGCCAGTTGTAATCTATAAGGAATTGTTTTCTTCAGTGGATTTTTGTATCTCCTTTTATGTTTGTTCAATTCTAGTTTTTAGGCAGTTTTCCACACTGCTGACTCTTTTTTCATAATTCTCTTATATCACTCTTATTTTTTCCCCATTTTTTCTATATCTCTTATATGGTTTTTAAACTCTTTTTTGAGCTCTTTCATGAGTGGCTTGAGACCACTTGCCATTTTTCTTTGGGGTTTTGCCCATTCTGACATTGTCATCTTCTTCTAAGTTTGTGTCTTGGTCTTTCCTGTCACCACAATAACTTTCTATGGTCAGATTTTTGTTGTTGTTGCTTTTTGCTCGTTTGTTTTTTTTTGGGGGTTTTCCTTTTAAATTTGAGCTCTGCTTAATGAAAAAACAAAAAACAAAAACAAAACAGAAAGGGGCAGCTAGGTGGCGCAGTGGAGAGTGCCGGCCCTGGAGTCAGGAGGACCTGAGTTCAAATCTGGCCTCAGACATATAACACTCACTAGCTGTGTAACTCTGGGCAAGTCACTTAACCCCAACTGCCTCATATAAAAAAACCAAACAAAAACAAACAAAAAACCCAAAACCAAATAAATTTGAGCTCTGCTCCGAGGGTGGAAGGGACACTATCTTAGGCTTCTTGTGCTTCAGGCCCTGGCTGTTTACTTGGTGCTACAATTATGTTGCCCTGAGGCCCATGGGAGCCCTCATGTCTGGTGCTGTGCTGGGGGATGGGGTTTGCTGGTACTATGGAGGTGGTAGGGGTAGAAGTTCAGCTGGTGCTGAGCTGAGGTCCTAGTGCTGGTGTCTGGCATATGTTGAGGTGAGGTGCTTCTGCCATGCTTACACTGAAGCACATGGTGGTCTTGTCTCTGGAGGTTGCCTGTTTGCTCAGGACTATGTTGTAGTTCTGGCTGGCAGCTGCCTGTTTGCTTAGGCACCTGTAGGGTTGGCATCTTTCTGTTTGCCTGGGACTGTGTTGAAGGATGTGGAGGTCTGGTCACTAGAGGATGATTGTTTGCCTGGGGCTATGCTACAGAACATGGTGGTTCTTGGAGCCAGAATTTGGTGGTCCCCTGGCTATGCTGAGGTACATGGGGATCCTGGTGT